TTGTTCCCAATATCCCACCTGAGCCTCCCCTGGCCCAGCTGGAGGCCGTTCCCTCTCCTCCCGTCCCTCGTTCCCTGGGAGTTGGGGACCCCCCCAGGCTCCCCCCTCTTTTCAGGGAATTCTGGAGTGGGAAAAGGTCCCTCCTGATCCCTCTTTTCTCCGGGATGAGCCCCCCCAGCTCCCTTGGCCGCTCCTGCTGCTCCAGAAATCCCGGTCACCGCGATCCCAGAGGACCGAGGGCGACGCGGGATCCTGGAGCTGGGCAGAAGGAACGAGTGGAAAACCTGGAATTGCTTTTCCCAGCGTTCCTCCGCTCCGGGGAAGAGCTTTCCAAGGCTTTCAGCTCCGCACACATCCCCTGGAATTCCTCGCTCCGCGCTTTTATGGGAATCATTTCATGACAGGACACGATTCCGACCAGGCCTGAACACAAATCCCAGGATTTTGGCTCTCTTTTCCAGGCTGCCATTCCCAAAGCCCGGAAGGAAGCTCAACATTTGTTCGGAAGACGCTTCCAAAGAATCCCACCGAGCTCCACCGGGAAGCTCCAACACAAATTCCGGGGCCAAATCCGAGCACGTGACGGGACAGCAGGGAATCGGAATTAAAGGGAGAAGCCAAAATCCATCGTTATCCCAAATCCTTCCCTTAATTAACCCACTGGATTGATCCAAAGGGAAAATTAATTCCCATTTCCAGAGGGGGACGGGCTTAGTTTAAGGGTTTCCTTCCTGGTTTTTTTTATTTTGGGGATTGAGGGGACAAAGGAGCCCAAATTTGCTTGGAGGAGCTCGTTATGGATAAAAGTTCGGGAAAAGCCAAAGGAAAGATGTCACAACTCCATGGATTTGTCGGATACAAGAGACAGAAAACTCCAGGAACTTTTTTGTGTCTGATCCTGAAAAAAAACCCTGGAAGCAATGAAATAGAGGCTGCAGGAATATCCCTGTCCCGGCTCATTAGCACAGAAAATATGGGAATTCTTTCCCTTTGGGAAAAGTCCCAAAGCAGGTCGTTGGCAGGGAATGAAACCGGATTTGGAAAAGCCGATTTTTTTCATCTTTCTGTATTTATAAAAAGAGGGAAAATTTAATCCCGGAATCCAGGAGGACCTTCCACCACCTCGGGATCCGGGACAAATCCGAGGAAACGCAGGATAAATCCCGGGATTTTGGCAAACCTGGGGGGCGGGGGGGGGGCTTTTTGGGGCCTTGGCAGGAGCGGCGACTCCGTGGGAGCCGCGGATGCTCCGGAATGTTCGGCGATTCCCGCGGAATCCGAACATATGGCGGCACAGCGGGAAAACATCCAGGGATGAGCCAGGAAAAGGCAGGAAGGGATGGGGGGGAGGGAGGTCCCGTGACAGCTCCCGAGGCCGTTCCAAGGACGGAGTTTCGGGAAGGAAAAGCTCGGGAATGTTCGGTTTGTTCTCCCGGAGCAAATGAAAGGGGATCAATATTTGGGAAAAGGGGTTGGAAGCTCTGGCTTAAAGAAAAGGACAATTCCAAAGGTTGGGATCTACAAGGGGGGGAGGGGAGGGAGATGATCCCTCTGCAGGATCCCTGGTCCGTCAAAAATTCCTTCAAAATCCATGGGAATGACCCACCTTCCCAAAATCGGGGGGGGGGGGGAATTAAAGGAATATCCAGGGAATAAAAGGAAGTGCCTTCCCAGATCCATCCTCAGGAATGTTGGATGTCCGGGCTCTGCCCCTCCTCGGAGCGGGGGTGGATCCAACCTCCCCAGAATTCCAGGGGGAGGAATCAAAACGGGAAAGGGACAATCCCGGATGGTTTCCGCGGCTTTTCCGGGATCTCCGCTTGTTTTTTAACTTCCCCGGAATCCGGGATTCCTCCTTTTCCTTTCGTATCCGTGTCCGGTGTCAAGGAGTCTCCTCCTCATCCTGGAGCCTCCTGATTCCATCAGAGCTCCACCAAAATTCCCTGACGGATCCATCCAGCGGCCTTTCCGCCCCTGAGGATCCCACGGGCCAAAGGGGGTGGGATTGGCCCCATCCATGGGATTTGGGCACCGCTCCGGATCAAAACTGCCGGAGGAGGGCGTGGAGGAGCTCCAAGGGCTCTGGATCCAGGCTGGGAGAGCTGGGAATGGCCAGGCTGGAGAAGGGAAGGATCCCGGGAGAGCTTGGAGCACATTCCAGAGCCTGAAGGGGCTCCAGGAGAGCTGGAGAGGGACTGGGGATCAGGGCCTGGAATGACAGGCCCCAGGGAATGGATCCCAGTGGGAAAGGGGAGATTTGGGGGGAGATTGGGAAGGGATTCCTGGCTGGGAGGGTGGGGAGGG